CTAACCGTAAGGAATTGTTCCAAATTGAATTTTCATTCTAGGCCTAGGGGGATTACAGAAATGACCCCATTCCGTTCCATGGCTTAGGTGAGTGGTTCGTTCACGAAAAAAAATCGAGAAACCAGAGAGGAACTGGTGTTCAAGCCGATCTGAACCAAATTCAGCCGCTGAAGCCTACATGGTAGTTGCCAGAAAGAGGAGGACACCCCTAAACCCTAAACCCTATTCTAATCCTTATGTATTATGGGGACCCTCAAAAAGAGATCTTTTTCACTTCAGGAAACACATCCTGCAGCCGTTCTCTTCCAAAACTGCGAGGGGAAAATCTCTTCCAGTTCTAGACATCAGGTGCCTCCTGAATAACCTAAATCCTAAACCCTAAGGCCTAATCCTAAACTCTAAGCCCTAAACCACTAGAGACTGACAGGCCTAGATCCTGAGACGCAGCCCTCCTTGCTGGCATTCTGCGTGTTTCATTATTCAGCTCCACTGTTTCAATTAGCATTACTATTGCAGTAGTACTTTTACTCTTAGTAGTGGTGTTGTTGGTACTACTACTCATAGGTATTACTACTACCATTACAATTCGTATTGCTCTTATTTTTATTACCATTATTATTATTCGTATTATTATGGCTACTATTATTACCATTAGTATTCTTTCAAGTATTATTACCATTATTACTATTATTATTGCTCTTCTTACCAATCGTATTAAGTGAGTATTGGTACGAACGTTTCGCAGGAGGGCTCGTGAGGCGAACTCGCCGACTGGCCTCATCCTGTACGGGCTCCGGAGGGCAGGACATCTGTGATAACAATGATAGTTTAGGGTTTAGGGTTTAGGGTTTAGGGTAGGATGTAGGGGCCATATAGAGTTCTAAGTATGAGGCCCCAATGGGGAAGCACGTGGACAATAAAACTGAAACTTGGACTGTATGAGTAAAGCCTCGCACTGGGCACTACTGTCATGGGTGTCACCGCCATTACCTCCGATGATTCCTACGGTGATCGCTCTCGCGCTAATTATGTTTTCCAGGGTGGTCATGAGTTGGTGTCTCGGAAAGAGAACTGAGCATGATGATGACTATGATGATGACGGACGATGGTTTATGACTGATGGCTGATGACTGACGACTGATGATGATGATGATGATACTTCGATGATCATGATGGTGATGGTGGTGATGATGACCAATATGCTCTTGCCGGTGGTCCTGGTGGCTGTGGCAAAGATCATGCTGGCAAGTGGTCTTGATTGCATTACTTGATTGTGATAGCCATACCCCCTACGTTGCATAGCCATTAGATATAATCCCTTCACTTGAATCCTTCAGGGTATGAAGCCGAAGCTTTGCCAAACCCTAAACCAGACCCCAACCCCTAAACCCTAAACCCTAAACCCCAACCCTAAACCCACCCCAAACCCTAAACCCCAAACCCTAAACCCCAAACCCTAAACCCCACACCACAGACCCCAAACCCTAAGGGGAGCTGCCGGCCTCGGCGCAGCCGCTCTCTTGACCGGTGCCGTGATTTCTTCTGTAGCAGCGGCCCTGGCGACAGGTTTCTGGGTTTAGGGCTCAGGGCTTAGGGTTTGGGGTTTAGGGTGCAGGGTTTGGGGTTTACAGTTGATTCAGGGTTTTGGGTTTCGGGCTTAGGGTTTTGGGTTTAGGGTTTAGGGTTTAGGGTTTTGGGTTTAGAATTTGGGGTTTCTTCCTGACATGTATGCGTCTCTTACATGGATCTCATACGGATTATGGGAACCTTGGCCACGAAATGGGCCTCAAAAGGTGACATTAATATGGGGGTGCCCACAGATGTCGTGATGTCGAGAATACAATCCATTCTTGCAGAAGTTGCAGTTGTCGTGCTGGTATGTAGGGTTTAAATATGCAGGAAGCTTCACCACAGCATACATTCAGCGGCTGCGTAGGAAGCGGATAAGCGTGGGATTTTGTTGGGATTCTTTCAAAGTCAGGAGGCCCTGAACCCTCAACCTTCGATCAGCTTTTTTCATACATCCCTAGGCAAGAGCGCCCCCTTGGTAAACTCCCCACAGCGGAGACCCAACCTACAGCTAAAGCTCCTAAACCCAGCTTGTGCGGTGAGTGCAATGCATCCTTTTGGGGGTGTTCAGCCTCAAGCCTTTAAACTATGAACCTTACACCCTGAAACCCCTAAACCCTGAATGCCCTGAATCCCCTGAACCCTTAGCCCTTGTGCTCTAAACCCTAAACCTGCAACTGGAAACCCTCAACCCTAACTCCTAAACCCTAAACCCTAAACCCTCAACCCTGAACCCTTTTCGGGAGTTTTCAGCTTCTTGTGGCTGTGCAGATCCCCGAGTACGAGACGGTCCCGGTTTCAAAAGTGAAGGTCTCCTTCTCAGAGGTATGTGTGTGTGTGTGTGTTTTTTTTTTGGAGGGGGGGGTGGTTTAGGCTTTTTGGGATATAGGGTTTAGGGTTTGGATCTAGGATTTAGGGGATTCGGGGTTTAGGGTTTTTGGGTGTTTATATAGGGCTATGTGGGGGTTATATAGGGATAGTGGAAAAGAAAATGGATCTACTATTTAGGGTAGTTTAGGGTTTGGTGGTATATGTAGGGTTTCGGGTTTTTTTTGCATTGGGATTCAGGGTTTAGGATTTAGGGTTTGGGGGCTTAGGGGTTTTGGGGTGTAGTGGTTTAGGGCTGAGGGTTTTTCGTTTAGGGTTTAGTGGCTAGGGGCTTAGGGATTAGGTCCTGTAAGCTTAACAGTGGAGAATCAAACGGATAAGAACACGGAAAATGAGATGGAAACTGAGATTAGGGTTTACAGGGATTGGGGGTTTCCCAAAATGATGGGTACCTTTTGGTTTTGGAGTTTGGGAATAGATCAGTAGGTCTTGATGGGTTGGGAGACAGCAGATGAAGAGCCGCACGAGGAAAGACAACTGTCAGAACCAACGGGAGGACAAAATTCAACCCTCAGCCGCCCGAAACTCTAAACTCTAAGCCCCAAGCCTAACCCCAAATCCTAAACCCTAAATCCTAAACCCTAAACCCCTAAACCCGAAACCCTACGCCCTAAAGGGAAGGGTTCCCCTGCTCAACCTGCACCCTGATGAGGTGTATGAGGTGTCCAAGGTGGACAAGGTGGGTGGCTGGGTGGCAGGGTGGTAAAGCCGATGGGTAGGGTTTGAGGGCTTAGGGTTTGGGGTTTCGGGTTTAGGGTTTGGGGTTTAAGGGTTTAGGGTTTGGGGTTTAAGGGTTTGGGGTTCAGAGTTTGGGGTTCAGAGTTTGGGGTTTACGGTTATCTTGCTTTGGGATACTGTAATTTCTCATGTTATAGAGGAAGATAATGATAATCTCCTGGCTTTAGTTTTAGTAGGTGATAAGAAGACTATTCTTCTTGGTTCAACCACAAAACACGACTGAAATGAGTCAGTGTGGTCTTAGCAGTGCCATTGAGCTCTGAAGAAGATCAGAATAGTACCGGGCACTTGTATAGTGGTGATGGTACCTCTAGAGAGAGCCTGGCTAATCGCTTCAAAATTGGACTCCGTGCAGTTGTTATGATGGCCGTCTAGTAAGATTGCTCCGTATGGTCTACCTGAGTGTTGACTGCCCACAGTGAACCATGCCTCAAGTGGCAGGCTGCTGCTGACAAGGCTGCTGCAGAGAAGAAGGCCGCGGATGACAAGGCGGCCTCCGAAAAGGCTGCGGCTGATAAGGCGGCTGCCGAAAAGGCTTCTGCTGACAAGGCCGCATCCGACAAGGCGGCCGCCGAGAAGGCCGCAGCGGACAAGGCCGCGGCAGACAAGGCTGCCGCTGAGAAGAAGGCCGCGGCTGACAAGGCCGCGGCCGACCAGGCTTCTGCTGACAAGGCTGCTGCTGACAAGGCTGCTGCTGACAAGGCTGCTGCTGATAAGGCTGCTGCTGAGAAGAAGGCCGCGGAGGACAAGGCTGCGGCGGACAAGGCCGCGGCGGACAAGGCCGCTGCCGACAAGGCCGCTGCCGAGAAGGCTGCGGCGGAGAAGGCGGCAGCAGAGAAAGCTGCAGCAGACAAGGCTGCGGCTGAGAAGGCAAAGGCAGCTCCCAAGCCCGAGCCTGCAAAGCCTGCTCCTGCTGCCGCACCTGAACCAGAAAGCACCAGCAAGAAGATTTCCAAGAAGGGCTACTTTGCTTACATGAAGGAGAAGAACCAGCAGTGAGACCCAGCAGCATGCATGCTGTTGACTGTATTTAAGCCGCCTGGCAGCAATGCTAGCGGCAGTTTGGTCTTATCGTATGGATGAAGTTCGAAGATGTTTGTTTGATCGTTTTTCTCAATCTTGTGCAAGTCCCGAACTTGATTGTACTCTAGAACAAATTTGGCCGAGATCCGCAGGGGCATAGACTGTTCCGGACCTGCTACAGACCTATTTGTTTTCGTTGAGTACAGACCGTTTTCCATTTTGTTAGCTGCCATGCAGTTGGCAAAGTGTATGGCCTGGCCAGCTGCAGGGAAAAAAGTTTTTGCAGGCGACAGCGCGATGTGGCACTCACATGCTTTTGGCCTTCAGCATAGCACCCTAAATCCTAAACCCTAAACCCCAAACCCTAAACCCTAAACCCTAAACCCTGGCACATACCTCTACAGTTAAAGGACATGCCCTCCATGTCTTGAGTTTGGAGATCGATGAAAGAGGTATTTGCTTGGGGTATGCTGAAGTGCTAGTTTCCCCCCCAAAAAAGGAAGACTCCAATTTGACCCCAAAACACCCATAATCCTGCTTATAGGGACCTCCATAACGTGGTGCCCCTGATTTTGGGAAACAGCCAAGGCTACATTATTCACAACCTGGTGACAATGTCACTTCTGATGGCAATGGCAACCCTAAACCCTAGATCCTAAATCCTCAAACCCTAAATCGGAACACTATACCTTAAATGCTAGTCCCCCAAGCATCTCTCGGAATCTTGAGCCGTGTGGCTTTCAGCTTAGACACAGCCTTGCTTTTCCTGCAGCGTGGTGGAAATGGCTCGCCGACCCGTTGGAACCCCGGTTGAGGGTCTAGGATTAAGGGTTTAGGGTTAGGGATTTTGGGTTTAGAGTTTTGGGGTTATGATTTGGGGTTTAGGGTTTAGGATTTTGGATTTAGGGTTCTGGGGTTATGATTGGGTTTATGGTCTAGGATTTAGGGCTTAGAGCTTAGGATTTTGGGTGTAAGGTTCTGGGTCTCGGGCTGAAGATTTACGATTCTCATATGAGCTGTAGTCTAAACTCCTTAAAGGGGGGTTATGTAGGGGACTACATAGGGGACTGCTCTAGGGGTTATTAAGGGGGATACTAGGAGTTTAGACTATAGCTCATATAGCCTATTGTGATCTAGAGTTTTCATTTTCTTCTCCATCATTCCTATATGGTTCCTATATGACCTTTGTAGGGGTTTCTGGGCTTTGGAGTAACCCTAAACCCTGAACCCTAAACCCTAATCCGTGTAGGGGTTTTAGGGCAGGGGTTGCAGAGCACCAGTTTTGGACGTATGGTTTAAGGATTCAGGGCTAAAGGCACTCAAACTTCTCTGTCAGAATTTGCAGCGGTTTAGGGTTTAGGGATGCAGCTAATAGGGCCTAGGGTTTAGGGGTGGCCCCTCTTGGCTGCGCATGTTAGTGAAATTCTCACAGCAGCGATAGCTACAGGCAGTATTAAGAAGTCGAAGTGGTACTCGTCGTGGAAGTCGCAAATACCACGGTGAACATGAGATGGAATAGAAATACGCATGAGGACTGAAGATAGAACACGTTCCAAAAATCTCGCCTGAATTGAAACTCTTTCGTGGGAAATAGAAGGGTTTCCGTCATGTACTTTGTTGATCTTATGGTCGGCTCTTGTTCGTCTATCATTCCTTGGCCGTCTGTCAGCTCAGATGAGAGGGTTTTGTTAACCACAATCGCCAAAAAATACGAGACTAAATCTGTCATGCCACTAACAGGGTCCCTAATCTAAAATCCCTTCCTTAAAGCCACGCCTTAAACCCTAAATCGTAAATCCTAAACCCTAAACCCCAAACCCTGAACCCTGAACCCTAAACCTTAAATCCTAAATCCTAAACCCTAAAGCCTAAACACTAAACCTTATACGTTAGGTGCTCGGATTCCTGGCGGCGGTGTCGCCGACTCGCTTGGCCTCATTGAGCTTTCTCATGTGAAGGGTTTAGGGTTTAGGGATTCAGGGATTTAGGGTTTAAGGATTTAGGGTTTTAGGATTTGGGGTGTGGGTGAAGTTAAGAGTTTTGGGTTTAGAGTTTTTCGGCTTTGGGTTTAGGATTTAGGATTTAGGGATGAAGTCGGTCTTGTGGCGGGTATAGGGCTTTAGCCTTCAGGGTTTCGGTTCTAGGTTGTATTTCGGGCTTAGGGTACCATTTTGGGATCCTTAAAATAGGGAACATAGTATGTTGGGGTCTTGAATTGAGGGCTTATAAAGTTCAGGCTATCTAACCTAGCAGATCGCAGCTCGAGCAGGAGCAGCTTGACCTTAATTAATTCGAAGCTCCCTAAACCCGTAAAGTGTGGGTTCAGGGAAGTGTTTGGAGGCTGTGGCCCTTCATGGCCTCTGCCGCTGGGCTTTCGTCGCGCCTGCACCAGGCCAGCTAGATGCTGAACCCTAAACCCTGAGCAGTTGTTCCATTTCAGGGTTTGGGAGGTTTCAGACGGTTTTAGAGATGTGGAAGGTTTAGGGGGCTTAGGGGATGAAAGGCGGGCATCTCGGCAGGATCATGGCTCTTGTCTAGGGCAGGTTCCTCATGAGGATCCGTTCCTTTGCTAAGCAGGGCAAAGTAAACAGCTCTTCCGCAGGTAGTTGTATCATGAAACACACATGTAATGTATAGTATAGACTGCGAGGCACTAAAGGTGAACATCTGTTGACATCTCACTCTTCCTGGCCACCTCGTTGCTGAATTTGTGCAGCATGGTGAAGCCCTTGAGCCCCTAAACCCTAAACCCTCTTAGCATCATTCTCCTCACTCCCGTTGTCATCTTCGTCGTGCTCTCCTTGCGCGACTGATCTGTTTCGTTGGTATTATCACTTCTATGACGTTTATACGCACGCTATCGCCTACATGCCCTTGCACTAGTTTCAGTTTGTTTTTCAGTAGTGATGATACAGGTGTTTTGAAGTGTGCCTGCAGGACCCCAAATCCCAAATGATAAGCGCCTTTAACGTACCTAATCCTGAATCCTAAATGGTAAACACTCAACGCTTAACTTACCTATCCCCAAATCTTACTTCGCAAACCTCAATACCTTTACTTACCTGACTCTGAACCCCTGAATCCTATGTTTAATATATTGCATGCCGGAATCAATCAGTGCTTTAGAGGCCGCGCAGGGCTAAGCCAGGCTGCCGGAAGCCCAGGGTCATGGTATGTGGCTCAGGGCTTTAGGGGGTTTAGGGTCTCAGGTTTAGGGGTAACGCTTAGGGGTAGCTTGGGGCGTTGGGGGTAAACATTGGGGGGCTTACATAGGGCTCTAAGATTCATCTCGGGTTCAGAGTAGAATGAGAGAAAGAGAAGCAGAAAGAGAGAGAGAGACGCGTGTATGGTCGGCAGTCGGGACCTGGGCCAGTGCCGAGTGCGTGATACCTGCCTGCTTGGGGCAGTGCCCCGGCCCTCTCCGTAGGGGGAGGGTAGAGCAGTGAGAAGAAGAAGAGAGAGACGACCAATGGTACGGCTAATAACAACAGCTGTGCAAGATTTCCGGCACGCTTGTAGAGTTCGGGGTTTGCGTGCGAAGCTGCACCTCCTTGCTCGATTGATCCTCGGGCAGTTCCAAAAACTACTTAATCCCAACACCCTAAACCCTTAATCCTTAAGCCTCAAAGACAAAATCAACATCTCGAGCTTTGAAATCCTAAGCTTCACATCGCAAAGGTATCAATCGCTGGCACAACGTCCGAGCCCTAAACCCTCAACTCCAAACTTCCAAGCCCTTCATCCCTCAACCCTCTGCATTTCCCTATATGATAGTAGAACCTCTAAACCCTGAACCTTGAACCCCAAAACCTTAGAAACCCTAAAGGCCCTAAACCCTAAACCTTACACCCTAAACCCCAAACCTTACACCCTAAACCCTAAACCCTAAACCTTACACCCTAAACCCTATGCCCTTACGGGTGGACACAAAGAAGGTCCCCAGCACCTGGGAGAAGCCAAGCTCCTCGGACTCGACTTGGAGCTCCGGGCTCGCGACGGCCTGCGGCGTTGTGAGGGCCTCAGGGCTGGAGAGCTTCTTGGGGAGGGGGGGGGGAAGGGAAGGGGGTGGGTTTAGGGTTTGGGGTTTAGGGTTTAGGGTTTGGGGTTTAGGGTTTAGCGGGTTTAGGGTGTGTAGGGGGTTTAATTAGGGGTTCAGGTTCAGGGGTGGGGTGTTGAGGGAATTCAGGAATTTGGGGTGTAGGGTTTGGAGACTGGTTTTGGGGATGTAGGGGCACCGTACGTCCCTGGAACCTGACCTACAATTACTCTGACGGAATATGCTCCAAAACAAATGAACGGTAAATCCGCAATCTCAAATCCCTGCACCTTTAATCCTCGAACCCTTAAACTTCACCACCCCGCACTCCTCCCCACAGCATCATGAGTTGTTAGCAGGAAAATGCCAACAACACAGCACTTTCCAGTTTCTTTTCCATTCCTTGATTCCTCCTAACACCCGACAAGTCTTGAGGCCGGAACTGCCGCCCTGGCGGTGATGGCTTCTCGCTCTCCCCGCGCCACTCGGCTTTGATCGGCGAGAAGCTCCTGCATTGGGGATTTTGTTCAAGAATCAGGAGTTCCGAAAATCCCCCTATTCATGGAAACTGCCGTATGAGAGTTGCTGATTGGATAGACCCCTCACAAACTCCCTATTAGAATCCCCCCAGATGCTCTTCTAAAACATAGCCAGGAACGCCACAAGCATCAGCTGCAAAGCGTTGGGGACAAGGTAGCTTCAGAATTTGGCAGAGGGCTATCGCACGGAATTTCCACTACAGATTTTTGATGTTTAATCGGGAATGAGTGAGGGGATTGCAGTGAGAGGGTTTCAGGGTTTAGGGTTACAGGCTTTCGGGGATTTTTCAGGGAAGCATCCACGCTGTCATTCCCTACGAAGTCCTAAGCCCGGAACCCTAGACTACCCTAGAGTCCAAACCCTTAAACCTAAAACCTTAAACCCTTAATCCTACCCTAAACCCTAAACCTAAAACCCTAAACCCTAAACCCTTAATCCTAAACCCTGAGCCCTTAACAACCAACCGTAAACCCTCGTTTGCAGGTCGCTACCCGGGCACTTCCTGGGTCCCCGAGCCTCATCCAGGCCGCGGAACTTGGAGGGGTTTAGGGGTTATAGTCCCCCTTAATTTTGAAGTATAGAATATAGGCTTTGGGTATATTGTAATGAGATCCCCATATACCCCATATTCTATCTACTTAACGGGAACTATAGGTGCGTATAGTTTAGGGTATGGGGGTTTATGGTTTAGGGTCTAGGGATTTCGGGTTCAGGGGTTAGGTGCGTATGGTTTAGGGTTTCGGGGTTGAAGGTTTTGGGGAGTTAGGGGCTTTGATGAGCCTTAGGGGGTTGAGGTTTAGACCTCTTTTTGAGGGTCTTTCTTCCACAATGAGAACTACACTATTGGGGCGTGTAGTATGGGGGGTTGAGCAGTGGTCATGATTAGTTCCCTGAGAACCCACATTCGGGTAATCAGTGTCTACAACGCTGCAAAGAGGTTCGAAGTGTGGCTTAAACGGTAGGGTTTCGAAACCACTCGGCTGAAAACCGAGTAGGAGTAAGACTGCTTTTTGATTGCGCTCACCGTGTTGGCATGAATGACAGCTCCCTGCGTGGAGCACCCATAGTCATAATAGGTACACTTGCGTACGTCAGGATTGCATGTACCGTACACTCCAAGCTGTCGCTTTTTCAACAGAAACCATTGTTGAGGCCCCTCATACTACGTGTGCTGCAATCAAAAAGGGAGAGTGCTGGAGTGTTTGTCATACTCATAACCCCCCTCATAATCTCATGTGTCTCTAGGATTTCTAGGTGTATTTTTTGAGAAAGCCTCATTTGTCACAACTTTGGGGATTGCACTGCCAGGTCTTGGAGCAGAAAGGACTGCTGTCGACAGTGGAGAGCCGCTTCTTTGAGAGTTGTAAAAGAAAATGGAAACTACTGTAGGGTTTTGGGTTTAGGGTTTAGGGTATGAAGGAAAGGAAAAAGAACATGGAAACTGTAGTGTTTAGGGTTTAGGGTATGGTAGATGTCAGGGGTTTGGGGTTTATGCCGCACGGTTTTTATTGGTTATTCTCAGAATTATGGGCCCCTTTCGGGTCTGAATTATATGACGGCACGAAATATGCCTTATTTAGGGGTGCCAAAATGAGACCCTAATTTTTTGGGATGGTGGGTCCCTCTCGAATTTCATGATCAAGCATTCTGCAATGCTGTGGTTTGGCTTCTGAGTGTCAGGGTTCATGTGCTGGCTTTCCGATTTGATCTGTTGAGGGCAGAGCTTTGACATTTTTAGTGGATCTTGAGGTTCAGCTTATTAATATAAGTTGGGACGTGATGTTCAGGAGGGGTGAAAGATGTTGCGGACTTCTTTTTGAGGTGGGGCTTTTCTGAGTTAAAAGGCATCCTGACTTGCAGGGCAGGCCCTAGATCCTGCAGAACCACATGAGAGCCTGAACGAAGCCTGCAGGCAAGGCAGGGCAAGGAGCTCTCCCGAATTGGGGGCTCCCAAAAGGCACCCCTGATTTTGGGAAACCCCTAAATCCTAAACCCCCCACACCCTACGTCCTAAACCGTAAACTTTGAATCCTAAAGCCTGGTAATTGATAAACCATATAAGCCCTAAATCCTAAAGCCTTGCAATTGAATTAATGGCAGCTGAGACCTGGGCCTCCTCTCCGCGGCGGAGAAAGCCGGCGTCAAGGTGAGTACCGTCGAGGTCTGTGGGGATGGGCCACTTCTTTATAGGGTTAAAGGAACCCCTAATTTTGGGAAATCCTAAACCCCAGATATCCCTATATAATCCCTACATCCCCTTTAATTTAAAGGGACCCCCCAATTTTGGGTTCAGGAGTTTAAGGTTTAGGGGTTGAGGGTTTTTGGGTTTAGGGGTTCAGGGGTGTAGGAATTTGGGGTGTAGGGTTTAGGTGCGAATGCATGGAGGGGGGCCGGGGTTCATGAGTTTGTACAAGTTGAAAGGTTGATTGTTTAGGCTGGAAAAAATTGACCAGCGTGCTTCATCTTCCAAAAACTCTAAGTTCTCCGCCTCCTGCTCCTGAGGGCAACTCCTGCTGTTGCTGCTGGTGCCCTGCCTCCTTTGCTTTTAGCGGTTGCTTTATCTTCTCGTTTGTGTTGTCATCGGTGGAAATTACGCTACGCCATCCTACGCCCCAAGCCCTAAGTCTAGAACTCCCATCCCCATCATCTTCACAACCGTATTCCCCCGAGTCGCAATCCTGAAGGAGCTGGGCCTCTTGAAGCTCGCGGAGAAGCTCAACTTGCTGAGTTTGGCGGAGAATGTGCCCGGCTAGGATTTCTTTTGGTAGTTTCCTAAAATTAGGGGTACCTTTTTGGGGCCCCCATAATAAGGATTATGGCATATTAGGGTTTATATTGGGGTCCCCTTATTTTGGGAAACTACCATATGGGATTCTGTGCATGACCTAGGGCTTTCTTGTTGTGAGTGCGTGCACTATGGATTCCTAAGGAATGTTTGTGAGTGTTCAAGCACCCTTGCTAAGAGCTGCGGTTCCGAAGTCAGGTGTTGACGAACGGTTCCACGCCCTTCCTCATGCTGGGAGGACAGCATCAAAGCAGGCTTAATGATCGTAGTTTCCATTTTCTGTTCAAATACTAACCCCAAAATATTCCCCATTCTGCTATAGTAGTTTCCATTTTCTTTTCCATTATCCCAATATTCTGTGTTGGTGAGAAGCCTGAGCTTTGTTTCAGGAGCCGGCGTGTTGGCCGCCTTGTCCTTTGTCTGTGCCACCCAGCCAAGCGGCACCTTCATCCAGTACTTCTTGACAGGCCACTTGGCGAAGGGAGGGCCACAGGCATAAGCGGCGAACCCGTAGAACTTACTGGTTGTTAGTAGGGAATACAGGAAGTCAATATAACACATAGATATATGGGGATTATATTCCCACATTACCAACCAACGACCTGTAAGTACAGTCCCCCAAACTAGCATGGAAGCCCACATAGCCCCATTAAAGCGGGACTGTAGTCTTTATAGGGCCCCTTTTGGGTTTCCATGTTAGTTCCCAGGAGTGTAGAATCCCTAAACCCTAAACCCTAAACCATATTCCCTACCCAACAACCAGTAAGTAGAATCCCAAGGTGCTTTTGGCGCCCCAGCCCTGGTCCTTGCCGGAGCTGCCCTCGTCATCCTGGCTGTGTTCGGCGGCACCAGGAGGCCCGGAGCCTTGGGCTTCTGGCCTTTGGTTAGGTCGGAATGAAGGAATGGAAACGAAAATGGAAACTACAGGGATCATATAGGGGTTATATAAGGACTATAGGGTATATATTGGTGTATACAGGGAGAATCTAATGGAAAAGAAAATGGACACGACTATAATGAGATATACATATATATATATACATACGGACTATTGTAAGGATCCATTCTTTCAATCCTAGCTAATCAAAGGTAAGGTGGGCGAAAGAGGCGGGGGCACTGAAACTCGACTCCGAGGACCCGGGACATCGACGTCGCGGAGAAGGTGCCCCACTCAGCACGAGTGATTTCCCATCATATACCATATTTTCTATACGTAATATACCATGATATATTATATTCTACCATAATATACTTTCGTATGCCGTAATTTTCCATAATTTACCATAATGTACCGTGCTGTACCATACTTGACATAGTTTGCCATAGTATAGCATAATCTATAATCATATACCATAATATGCCACAATGTATTAAGATTTGCTATGATTTGCCATAATGGACCAAAATATACTATGTCGCCTAAACCCTAAACCGCGGTAGGTTAAGGCACAGCAGTGCGGGGCTGCCAGGCCTACAGCTACGGCGCAGGCGGCTTCCAGTCGGAGGAGATCTTCCGCTCGGCTTCTCTGCTTGAGGCTGGGTGATTTGTGGTTCAGGGTTTAGGGTTTAGGGTTTATAGTAGATTCGGGGGTTTCTCAAAATTAGGTTTATAGTATTTTGAGGTCTATATTGGGGTTCCTCTATTTAGGGAAACTACCATTTGGAGTTTGCTTCAGGCTGGGTGATTTAAGGTTTAGGGCTCAGGGTTTTCAGTCTAAACTCCTTAAAAGGGGATTATGTAGTATATAGGGTTTAGGATTCAGGGTCTAAACTCCTTAAGGGGGATTAGTTTAGGGTTTAGGGTCTAAACTCCTTAAAAGGGGGTCATAGAGGGGACTATTATAGGGATTATTCAGGGGGATACTAGAAGTTTGGACTATAAGTCATGTGGGCATGTTCCTTGAGTTTTTTAAGCAAAAAATTCTAGAGCCCAAACACCTAAACCCCTAAACCCTAAACTCCTAAACTCTAAAGCCCTAAGCCCTAAGCCCGCGAGACCGTCGAGCAGAAGCAGATCCTGTCCTTCCTTGAGGAGAACCAGCTCTTGAGCGCCCACCTCAAAGTTGATGGCATATGAGTAGTATTTTATTTGGGGATATTTTGGTTTTCTAAAATAAGGGGTACCTATTACCCCCAATAATGGAGAATCAAATGGGAAAGAGAATGGAAAATGAAATGGAAACTGGGATTATAGGGTAGTTAATAGGGATTATTCGAGTAGTATTTCATTTGGGGATATTATGGTACCCAGTATAGAGTAAGATTATATCCTCCCTTTGGGGTATAGTATTTTTTATAAGGAATATAATCTTACCAGGTTCAACCATTAAAAAATGCTACTCATATGTGCTATAGTCTGTATAGGTTTTAGGGATTAGGGTTTAGGGTTTAGGGATTAGGATTCAGGGATTGGGGTTTAGGGATAAGGGAATAGGGTTTAGGGCCTAGTTTAGGGATTGGGGTTTAGGGTCTAAACTCCTTAAAGGGGTTTGTATAGGGGATTATATAGGTAACTTTAAAGCGGTTTATATAAGGGATTATCTAGGGGAGTATTATAGGTTGATTAAGGAGGAGGATACCAGGAGTTTAGATTTTCCTCATATGACATGGTGGTTGCCGTTTGCTATTCCGGCGCAGATGGCAAAGAGCATGCGAACGACCACATCATCTATTGGTAAGCACATTGATTCTTAGTCTACATTTACAAAAGTAACTGACAGCATTTTGCTGACGCTGAGAGGGCTGTCATCACCTTAACCTAAACCCTGAATCCCTAAACCCCGCAGAGCCCTAAACCCCAAACCCTTAACCCTCAATCCCTAAACCCTAAACCCGAAACCCTCAATCCCCAAACCCTAAACCCTAACAACCCAAGGTTCAAGACCGTCATTGCTGGCGACAGCTGGGGCAGAATCGCTGTTCCCATCATTGAGGCTGATACCGTTGATATGGATGAAGGTTTGAAGATTCGGGCTCAGGGATATACAAGGATTTGGGGTTTAGGGATTAGGGTTTAGGGGCTAGGGCTTAGAGCTTAGGGATATTTATTCATTATTGCCCCCAATAATGGAGAATCACATGGAAAAGAACATCGAAAGTGAACTGGACACTGGGGCTATATGCGGATTTTTGGAGATAGAGATTAGGCTATCAAAAACCTTTGCATGACCTTCGTATACTATGATACCATAGTTTGCGGTACTTTCGGGTCATGCAGGATGCACCCTAAACCCTAGACATTATTCTCCCTATATACCCCACATCTCTATAGATCCCTATAGGTCCCTATGTATCTCTATGCCTCCTTTCAGGTACTAAGGGTCATGCATCATTTCGATCCGCTATATTCTTGACTGGCGTCGGTAGTGGTCTGAGTTCCCCAGCAGGCCCCTGTACCCCCTTTGAGGGTCCTAGGGTTCAGGATTTAGGGTGTAGAACTAGGTGATACAAGAAACGGAGCCTCGTTTCTTCCTAGGCTACAGAGGGCCCTATTAGTAAAGGGTGGTAACCAATCTCTCGGCAAGTGGTAGCAGCAGTGGGAAACTCGTGCTAATCGTGTCTACTGTTTGTTCACAGCTGTGCATCGTCTTCGTTGTCCACATTCACGGTAGTAGTCGGGATTGCTGTTAAGGAGTTTAAATGCATGTACTACAACAAGGATGCTCACTGGCCCCTACTCCCCTTATAATCCTTATATGACCAATTATATTAGTTTCCATGTTCCTTTCCATTATCCCCATATAGTCCCAATGTAGTCCCTAACCCTAGACCTAATCCCTAAACCCTAAACTTGAATTTAGTTCCTCAACAGAAGCCCAGCAGTAGAAGCACCGCACACAGCAGCTTTCAGCCCAGTGCAATGTCGTGCTTTCGTATTAGGTACTGTTGGGGATTATATGGGGTTTAGGGTCTAAACTCCTAGTTTCCCCCGTGGTAAGCCCTATAATAGTACCCTATATAATCATCCAAATAGCCAGATATTTGGGGTTTCGGGCTTAGAGTTTAGGGTTTATGTTTTAGGTTTAGTGCTTAGGTTTTAGTGTCTAGGGCTTCGGGTTCAGGGTTTATGTCTTAGGGTTGAGTGTTCAGGTTTTGGGGTTTAGGGCTGAGGGTTTTGGGCTTAAGGATCCAAATAGCCCAAGGCAGGCAATACTTACAGACTTTAGGGCCCAATGAAAGTATTATTTGTATACTTGGATCCATAGGGAAAAGGAGCCTGCCCGCATGGGGGATCCATTGCTAGGGGGACCCACAATACCCCACGTAAAGCTCCTGAACCCTAAAGCCAAAAGCGCGTATAAAAACACTATGAGAACTCCCAACAGGCACTCCAAACGCTGAAAATCTGCGCGGCGATTAAGGAACTTAAGTTAAATTACCATAATCTGTGTATGTTGTACAGAATGAGGTTTCCTTGCTATAGCGACTTACTTCATTTTTCTTGACAGCAACCCTAAAACCCTTCAACCGAAAACGCGAAGGAAAAAAAAAAGACAAAAGGTCACATCACCAAAACCCTTTAAGTTCCTGAGCAGCCAGCCAGAAAGGGCCGGAGCAAGCGATCATAGACAGGTTCTTAGTGGGAGGCTTTTGGTAATCCCAACCCCCCAGGGCTTGGAGTTCAGGGTACTTCATATGATCATCACAGGGTCCAAATTTTGAGTGTTGGGGTTACCAACATACTATTTGTATTACTGGGATGTTCTTACAAGATCCGTGCTTTTGCAGCCGTCAATGAGAATTGGTTTAGGATTTAGGGTTTCGGGCTTTCGGATTTGGGGTTTAGGGTTTTATGGTTTAGGATTTTAGGGTTTAGGGGTTTGGGGTTTAGCATGTAGGGTTTGGGATTTCGTGCAGCCAGGTGAATGAGAAGAATCCCTACCATTCCTTGAGACGAACCCCAATACGAAATCCACTCATCATCCCAGTATACCCATACTTCTCCCAAAGCGTCCAAAGTACCTAAACAATGCAAAGTATGGTCTTTGTAGTAGGAACTTTCCTGTTGATTTGTGTAAGTTAACCCTGCATGGCGGCTTGGGACCCGTTGGGTAGGGTATTGCTGGAAGCCGTGAGACCTCGTAGGCTTCGCCCGTCACGGCCATCCTCTTTTGTGGCTCCCTTTTGACACTCGCCGCTGGGACCTTGTTCCGATAGACCCTACTTGCTGGGCCGAGGGGAACTTAGTGAATAATCTGGGTTACTGTGAAGGAACTTAAGCCAAGATACCATAAACGGGTATATTTTAGAAAACAGGGTATAGTCAATTAGCGCAAGTTCTTTAACAACAATCCTTTAAGTCGGATTACTGGGGTTACTCTATGGTTTAAAGTAACCCTGAACCCTAAAACCTAAACCCTAAACCCCATTGCTCCGTAAGGCCCTGAAGCCTAAATCACTAAACCACATAACCCCTAAGCCCCTAACCCTGAACCACTAAACCCCTCAAGCCCTAAACCACCAAACCCCCAAGCACTTAAGCAAACCCTAAACCACTAAACCCCTATACCGCCAAACCCTAAACGATGAACCCTAACGCCTAAACCTGCGTAGTGCCACTGTCGGGGCTCCATGCCTTGATTGTCCTGAAACTCTAAACCTTAGGAGGACCCTCCCCAGGGTTTAGGGTTTAGGGTTTAGGGTTTTCAGGGCTTTTAGGGTTTCTACCCTTGGGTTTGGGTCCTTAAACCATGGAAGATGGTCCTTAACAAGGGTATTTGGGACCCCAAGCCCAGGGTTAATTACAAACATTAAGGGTACAAACTTACAGTCTTTGAGCTATAATAGGAATATCAGTTGACGCTAATATTGTCCTTATTATCCCTCAAAGTCACTATTACTGGGCTGGGGGTCCACCTAACCTAAACCCTAAGACTAAAGCCCACAGCTCCCCAAACCCGAAACCCTCACAGCAAAAGGAAGGTTGATTTTCGGAATGTCGATGCCGTGAGAGCCTAGCATAGACGCAGATTCTGGAATTCTTTTCAGAATACGTACCTGAACCCCAAAAGTATGTAAAACAATGGCCTTTATGGCTATTATTTGTGGTTTAGGGCTATTATTTTACATACTTTTGGGGTCCAGGTTTTGGGTAGCCCAACTAGACATTGAGATGAGACTGGTAATTATTCACGCTTCGACATGGCAAGTACCAGACCGCTTGGAGGACCTATGCTACTATTGGGTTGTTTCTAGAAGCCTTACAGGAGGCTCTACTTTCGAGATCCGTCCTAAACCCTAAACCCTAAGGGTCTGGGTAGAGGCTTTCCACGCAGTGTAGGGTTTAGGGTTTTGAAATGAGATGTGTTTGGGGCATTGTCAGCCAAGGGGCTAGCTTGGATCCAAAAGACCACGCGCGAACAAAACTTCGAGAATCAAACGTAGGGTTACATAGGGGTTTTAGGGATTAGGGTTAAGGGTTTAGGGTTGAAACTCCTCAGGGGTTATTAAGAGAATATATAGGCGAGTATTACAGGGGTTATTAAGGGAGATGTGGCATATAGGGGCTTAAGGCTTATGGTATATCTAAATATGTACGGTTTAGGGAGCAATAAATGGATAATCAAATGGAGAGGAATTCGGAAAATGACATGGAAACTGGGATCAAAAGTTGCCTTACAGGGAAGGGGCCGCACAGGGATAGTTACCAATTTTGGGGTCCCAGATTCCTTGTATGGGTTTAGGGTTTAGGTGTTGTGGGTCTAGGGTATAAGTACGGTATAGGGTACCTCGAATAGGCCTCAAACAGATGTTGGTAGTTAGGTAGGCCTTCTGACTTTAGAATTGCGCGTGACCGTTGCAAAGAAAGCTGGGGCTGTAATCACATGATTTAGATTTAAGGGTTTTGAGGCTTAAAGCAGTACGACTGCCGAGCTTTTCTGTGCCAAGGTTGCAGGATGTGGTACTGTTGATACTAAAGAATTCTGCATGGCCTTAATATACTATAGTCCTATAATTCCCAATGTATATGGTACTTAGGGTCACGCAGGATTTTTAGTATCCCCCGTAGTTCAAGCAAAGGGGTTTGGGGTTTAGGGTTTGTATAGTA